CAAAAAAAAAAAAAAAAAAGAAAACTGAGGCACACAGCTGGCTGGGGGCTGCACAGACCCCCACCGAAGCTTCCTGGACTCACAAAGTCAGCGTCCAGGTTGTGGACTACTCTGCAGCTGTCAGCTCCGCTTCCTCCTCCTGTCCCCTTCCCCTCCCCTGATGCTCAAGCGTTTGCCCTCCCTGAGCACCCAGGAAAGCAGTTGCTAGAACCATTCGGAGGAGACAGGCAGGCGGTGAGAAATACCAGCAGAATGCTGTTCATTAATTTATGCCACTTCCCAGCTCCTCCAGTCTGCCTGCTCCCTGCTGGTCCTTCCGTGTCCTGACTGGGATGGCTGTTCTGTTTGTTTCCATTGTCTGAGAAATAAGATGGCTTTGACTACACCCACAGTCTCTCGTAAATGACTATATTCTGGCTGCCTAAAGGCAGAAGGCACCATCTGTATCCCTCAGTCACCGGCTTCTGGAAGAGGCCTGCTTGCCTCTTCCAGTGGGGACCTGCACCTGATCCAAGGGACCCCGTCAGCCTGGACCCAGCCCCACCCTACCCCTGCTGCTGGGTGTGGATGGAGCCTCGGGAGGGCTGGGGAAGGGGTAGAATCTGGATGGGCTGATGGTCATCTTCTTAGCTTCCAAGACAGGGCAGGGCCAGGCGGAAGAGAAACAAACATTTTTGAGGGCATGAGGCAGGACTCAGTCAGTCGGTCAATGTCAAAGTCTTAGAAGCCCTGGTACTTCCTGTGTCCAGATCCTGCTCTCAAAGCTGGGGACCTAGCAGTGAATGCAGGGAGACAATTCCAGCACATCTGGGTGAGAACGTTATTCAAAGTATCCCACAGTCCAGACCTACACAGACACCAACCCATCCTCTGCCCTATCGCCCTGATCTCCTCTACTGGGCCAGGCATTAACCCTTCAGGTGCTGGCCCCGGTGAGGTCAGGGAGGGGGAGTCCCAGGGACCAGTGAGTCCCAGCCAGGATGGCAAAGGCCCAGACAGCAGCTGCTCCCCAACCAGCACAGGACTGCGGGGTGACAGCAATATTAAACATCAACTGGGTACACTGAGGGTCAGATAAGAGGGTTGGAAAGGACTGTAGCAAGCTGCTCATAGTTCGGGGAACTACTGCTCAGCAACAGCCCGTAATTGCCTCATGGGAGGAAGAGGCCCATTGATTCCTTTTCAAGAAGAATCAGACCTGGTGACAATCAGATCTGGTGGGGGTTGGGGGGAGAGCAAGAGCGAGAGAGAGAGACAGAGAGAGAGAGAGAGAGAGATTTTGATTTTTTAAAAAATGACATACCCAGCCTACGCCAAAGAAAATGACCCTTTGCCCGCACCCCCCTGGGAACCCCTGAATGAGCCTTCCGGCCTTAGGACATCAGGAACTGTGCCGAACTCTACAGGGTATACCTGCAGTTAATCCTCACAGCCTCCCATCAGGTTCATGTTTTTCCCTCCACTTGAAAGATGAGCAAGTGATCATCAGTTTTCCAGGGGGTGACAGGAGCCCATGGGGCGCCCATCTGGTACAAGGGCAGGCAGCCGGTTGAACCCAAATCTACCTGTCTCCACAGAGGAGAAAGGACCCTCTTGGATGCAAAAATGTGCCTGTACTCCAGTGGGCACCTGTCCTGTTGACGATGGACTGGAGCTGAGGGTAGACCTGTAGGGAGACCAGCAAGGTTGCTAGGGGTGGCTGCTACTGGCCTAGGATGGGAATGGTGGGAAGGGGGCATGAATCTGAATGTGGGGGTGAGGATAGGGTGTCTGTGTTAGAGATTCTGGAGTTTATTCCAACCAGAGGAATGAGTGAACTTGGGTCCTGGTAGAAGAATTAGGGACCCCCCTAAGAGAGTTAGGAAGTGGGCTGAGGGTTTGTTTTCCATGGTCCTGCAGAAAGGTCCACGAGCCACTGTCTTCTCTGCACCAGCCCAGGGAGATGATTGTCAAGTGTGGCAGTATACCCCCCTTTGAAGACACCTACTCTGCCTGGGTCCCCGATCCCCAGCGGGGTCACCAGCTGGTAGGTGGGCGGTCACCTTCTGCAAGACCATACTTTAATGACCATTATAGGAGAGAAGGGGCTGAGGGAAAGGCAGGGGAGGCAGAAAGAACTACCTGGAAAAGAAGCATGGAGACAGGAGCATGCATGTCCATGAAAGGAATGGTGAATTGTCCCATTGTCCAGAAGGACAGGGAGCAGTAGAAAGTGAAGGCTTAAATGGAAGGCTGAGGCCAAGTTGAGTGGCCTCCTACGGGACTAAGACTTGAGCTATTTTATTCAGTAGGCAATAGAGAGCCATAGAAGGTTTGGTGGCCGGGTCTCTGTCTTATCTTAGTTCAGGCTGCTGTAACAAAATATCATAGACTGAATGGCTTAAACAAAAGACACTTCTTTCTCACGGTTCTGGAGAGGAGAAATCTGAGATCAGGGTGCCAGCATGGTTGGTTCTGGTGAGGTCTCTCTTCCCAGATTGCAAATAGCTGCCTTCTAGCTGCATTCACTTTTTTTTTTTTTTTTTTGAGTTGGAGTCTTACTCGGTCGCCCCACCTGCCGGGTTCTGGCGATCCTTCCGCCTCAGCCTTCCGAGTAGCCAGAATTACAGGCATGCGCTACCACGCCCGGCTGATTTTTTATTTATTTATTGTAGAGATGAGGTCTTGCTGCCCAGGCAGGTCTCAAACCCACAGGCCCAGGCAATCCACTCACCTCAGCCTCCCAAAGGCGCGGTATTACACGCTGAGCCATGGAGCCCGGGTTCTAGCTGCATTCTTAAATGGCTGCGAAAGGGAGTTCTAGCCTCTTCCTCATCTTATAAGGACACTCATCTCATTATAGAGACTCCACCTCATGACCTCATCTAAACCCAATCATCTCCCAAGGGCCCACCTCCTAATACCATCACACTGGAGGTTAGGATTTCAATTTATGAATGGGGGGTGGGGGTGAGCACAAACATTCAGTCTTTCACTGTGTCTGACGACTTAAGGCTGGAGCTGATTTCTGAGCCCCTAGCTATATATTCCTTATACGTCTCCACATGTCTCTCATTCTGAAAACATCCCTGCGAGAAACGTGTTAAACAGTTTCACTTTGCATGTGAAGATATTGAGCAATGCCCAACAATGTCCCTGAGGTCATTCAGCAGCTGATAAATGACAGTTCAGGATTATAACTGAAGTCAGGAGGACGTCGTAAGACTAGAGGTCGAGAGAGTGGCTAGAAGTACTATCCAGGTATGACTGGTCCCATCTGTAACGACAATCAAAGCAGGAGAAATGCCAGAGACAATGAACGCGGGAGTCCTCAGCGTGGGACCTAGGGACTGAGCTGGCACGGAGGGGGCCTGAGGAGAAGTCACAGATGATGGGGGGATGGGAACCCCAGTGAAACCGTTAGTAATATAGGGAATTTGGGGGAGAGCTCAGTTTTCAGAAGATAGTCTTACTGTGGTTTTAGAAAAGTTGTGTTAGTTACAGAGGAAGGGGAAATGTCATTTTTACTTCCCAGCTTGCTCGTACAGACACATCCCAACTTTTTATCTCATCCACAACAAAAATACTCATTTAACAACACTTACCCTTCCTCCATGTAACATGCTCTGATCTTTCCCACCCTGTTCTCTTCCATTTCAGGGTAGGTTATGGCGTGCGGAAGAAGAATGCTGTCTATAACTCGGTCATGCCATTGAGTTCATGACCAGCAAGTGAAAAGTGGCCTGCAGGATGGCCAAGACTTCACCAGAAGCAGGGGTGGGGGGAAGCAGCCAGTCCTCGTGGCCACCGCAATGGACATCACAAAAAAGGCAGAACCAGGAGAGAAACTGATATTGGCAAGAAGGGGAAATCTAGGTACCAAATGTGTGGAGGAATCGAGGCGAGCCATGCTTCGAAAAGGCCACTTACTTATACAACTAGGTCACCAGGCACCTTCCAAGAAACAGTTCCAGTCAGTGGCAGAGGTGGAAACCAGATTGGAAAACAGGGGCAGGCATGAGCAGGGGAAAGAAGAGGGTTGCTCAAGACCAAATATACCCTTCTGCAGAGGCGAGGGGGGGAAGGGGACAGACCAGGTAACGATAGACATCCACCCAAGTGAAGAGGGAGTGATAACAAGTGGAAGGAGGGAGATGGTGGAATGTGAACGGCTGACTCCAATTTTCTCAGGAAAGTAAGAGGCAAAGTCATCTGCTGAGAATAAGGCTGGCAACTTGGTGCCAATGGGAAATATTTGCAACAGCTGCCTGGAAGCATCACCAAACAAAGAAATGAAAGAAATGCTGACTAGTCAGAGGACCCGTGTGGATGCTGTGGTCTGTGAAGCCTATGGTTTGCCGGGTTTGGGGGCTCCTACGCTCTCCCTGTCAAGGCACGAACTGTCAAGGCACCAACTGTCAAGGCACCAACGTCTTCTCCCCAAAGGTACACGTCAGGCTCCATCAGCCCAAGGTTCAGGGGATGTTGTTAATTCCCTGCTAAAAGGTCAAAGAACACAAACTATTATATTCTGTGTTTTTTTTTTTTTAAAGAATTCTGCCTCTAGGCTTTCCAAAATAAGCTTCTTCTTTTAGATTTCTGATGCTACTTCCAATAAGTCTCTTGAGAACACAGCCTAGCCCATCTGGACCAATCAATCAGCTTTATCATCAAGCGGCATTTTTCTCCACTTTCTTTTCCTGGGATTTGCAACCCTGTCTGCACATTGGAATTGCCTGGGGAAAGTTAAAAATACTCATGCCTGATCCCACCCCCAGAGATTGACTTAATTGGTCGGGTTTTGTGTCTGGGCATCGGTAAAGTCCCCCCAGATAATTCTAATATGCCATCTAAGGATGAGAACCACTAACTCTGAATGTTCAAAGTGTGATCTGTGAGTTAGAAGCAGCGGCATGAACCTGGGATGAAGAATGTCAGGCTCTCCCCAGATCTGAGAATCCGGGAATCTGCAGTTCAGCAGGAACTCTAGGCAGTTCATATGTACATTGAAGGCCAAGAAGCTCCGTGCTAGAGATCTAACCTCTTAAATCCGCCCACTCCATAGAAGATCAAATAGAAGGGTCTCAGAGATCACACCTCTTTATCTCCAAACAGCCTTGCAAACAGCTGAAGTCTGCCTTCCCATGGAGCGTGAAAACAGGCACCTATCAACCAATCACCAATAAATGCTTCCTGACATTTGGACAAGCAGTAACTGAGTGTGGTCTCTTGGGTTTAACAGTCTACAGGGTAGCTAGCTGGAACATTCTTGTAGGGTGACCAACTGTCCAATTTGTCTGGGACTGTCCTAGTTTTAGCATTGTAGATCCCACATCTTGGGAAATTTGTCCATCTCGGGCAAATTAAAACAGTTGGTCACTCCATGTCAAGTGATATTTTGAACTGATTTTAAGCCCCTACCCAACAACAACATGTGTGTGTGCATGAACACATGTACACGCACACCATCCAAAGGAAGATCTGCTTCTTTGGTGCCCATCACCCTCTCATAAACACATATAGCTAGGAGCTTTAGTGTTTTGTGAATGTAGTTCATGCTTAGGAATGTTGGTTCATGTGTTCAACAAAAATTCATCGAGTGTCCTCAGTGCCGGCCTCTATGCAGCATCAAAGCAGACATAACACCTGCCCTCATGGAGATTACAGTCTGGAGGAGCATACAGAGGGATGACGTACAGTGGGGTGAGTGCTCTCATCCGTGGAAGGAGCACAGGGGTCTGCAGAAGCCTTTAGGATGAGCGCCCGACCCGCACCCGGGGACCAGGAGCATCTGAAAGGTGGGAGAAACTAACCAGGTGAGGAGCAAAGGGCATATGTGAGGGACAGAGAGGGTCTAAGCAGAGGGAATGGGGGTCTGCGGGCTGGGAGAAAAGATGGCAGGGCTCCTTTGAACCTGAAAGAAGGTTCACATCCCTAGGGAAGATACAGTGAAAGCGGGGAGGTGAGGTTGGGCCATAAATGAGTCTGGAGAGGTAGGTAGAGGCCGGCCTGCGTACAACCTTGGAAAACTAGTCAAGGAGCTGGGGCATCACTGGAAAGAATTTAAGCCCATTTAAAAGAACCAGATTTGAGTGAAGAATGATCAATCACTCTACAGTTCTGTAGAGAACAGAATGGAGAAAATTTTAAAATGAAAGCAGGGAGTCAAACTAGAGGCTTACCAAGTCTCTTTTCAGGAGAGAGAGGAGGGTTGCTTGAGCTGAGTGGTAGCAGTTTAGAAACAGAGAGAAATGGATGGTTGGAAGAGATATGTAGACAGCAAAAGTCATAGAAGAATGTGTTGATTAAAAATGCCCTTGACAGAGAAAGAATGACTACAGAAAGAGAGGAGTTGAGGATTATGCATAGGTTTCCTTTTTCCCTTTTTAGTGTTTTATTTTGAACTACTTCTAGACTTACCAAAAAGTTGCAAAAATAGTATAGTTTTCATATTTCCCTCATGGAATCTCTCCTAATGTCAACATTATACATATTCACTGCACAGTTATCAGAACCAGGAAACTATGGTACACACTATGGTACAGGCTCAGCCTGTAATCCCATGCTCTGGGAGGCTGAGGTGAGTGGATTGCCTGAGCCCGCGGGTTCGAGACCCGCCTGGGCAACTTGGCGAGACCTCATCTCTACAATAACTCAAAAATTAACCAGGCATGGTAGTGCGTGCCTGTAGTTCCAGCTACTTGGAAGGC